CCAGCCGCTGTGGGAGTCAGGCCCCACGGTGGAGGGCTTGGCTGAGCGCGTGCCGCCCCCACCAGCCAGCTCCTGGGGGCCCTGCCCCTCCCACCTGACTTCTCTGCCTCCTCGGACTGTACTGGGGCTCTGTCCTCTCGGCCCCCATGCCATCCTGGCAGTGGCTCCCCTTGCCCGGCTCCACTCCTGGTGCACCCTGGCTGGCCCTCCCCCGCACGGGCTCCAGCCAGGGTGGTGCCCATTGGTGCCCACGCCCACCAGTCCAGGCATCCTTCTCGGGAGTCACCCCCAACGCTGCCTACCCAGTGACCTGGCCTCGTGTGGGTTCACGTGAGAGGCCTGCAGACATCAGCAAATGGGGGGCCTGTGGGCCACGGACCCCCACCCCAACACTATACCTTGTGCCCACGGGGGGAGGACAGAGGCCACAGGGCACCATGGCCCCCAGGCTCCCAGGGGTGGTACCGGAGGGGCAGGGGCTCCTGTGCCCCATGGGCCTGGCTTCTCAGTGGGCAGGGGCTTCTGCAGGGACTGCCTCCGCCTCCCCTCCCCTCCCCAGCTGAGGCTCCTGCAGGATTAAGGAGAGGAAATTTGGGATTGGGTTTCTCTCTGAGCGAAACCTGCCTGGCCACTCGACTCCATAGGTTCTATCAGATGGGACAGCCCTCCCGCCCTTAGCTCTCTGGCTTTGAGCGTTCCCCTGGACTCCTCCACTGCTTCCTGCTCTGTGCTCCCTGGAGCCCTCTTGTGAGGAGGGGCTGCCCGGGCCTGCCCTGTGTGGTGCCCACGTGGGTCCAGCACCTGGTCTCCCCCAGGGCGGAGCGTCTGAGGAGGGGCCTGGGGGCCAGCCAGCCGCCCCACACCTGGCGCCCTGGGCCATTCCCCACTCACCCACCGGCCGGAAGTGGGGCTGCAGGGGGGTGGGGAGGGAGGCCGTGCAGAGCCGCAGGCCTTTCTTCTCTGCAGCCCCCAGCCCTCCGAGCTCACCCCCCAAACCGTAGCCATCACCTGCAGGAGTCTAATGGCCGGCCAGCTGCACACGGTGCGGTGGGGGCATAAGCCCACCTCCTCCCAGCAGGGGTGTCTCTGGGGAGTGGGTGGCTCGAGTGGCAGGCAGCCAGGGGTCCTCCTTCAGGGTGGCAGTGTAGGTGGGAGTGGGGGTTTGGCCTCTGCAGTTAGAGCAGGGAAATTGGCAACCCCCAAGAAGGGCCCTCCCGGGTAGAGTGGGCAGCCGGCACCTGGCCACACCAGGCCCCCACTCCACTGGGCCCCAAGCGTCCACTCTGGGGACTCAGGCAAAGGCCATGGTGCTGCCTGCCCACAGCTGAGTGCCGGAGGCCCCTCGGCCAGGCTCGGTGTGGGCTCAGCAGTGACCCTGGGGCTGGGCAGACAGTAGGACTGTGCTCTGCCGTCCCGCCCCACCAGGTGGCACAGGCCTGTCCTCTCCAGCCCTCCCGTTCCCAGGTGAGGCTCTGGGGTGGGCTGAGCTCTCCTCACTGCTGCAATCGAGGGGGGGGGGGCCCGGCCCGACTCTTGGAGGCGCATCCCCAACCTTCGAGAGGACTGTCGGCCTCTGTGCTTGGAAGGTACTGTTTTGTTTTTAATTATACAAAACTCCCAGCCTTTATATTATCGTATCAAAGACACGCAATGCCAGCACTGGGAGCCCAGAAGCCCAGGTTGGGAGTCAGCGTGGAAAGTTCCATTAGGCCTGGGCAAGGGGCTGCTGGCTGAGTCCTGCCTCTGCCGCTGCCTGTCCATCCGTCTGTCTGTCGGCCCTGCTCAGAGCCAGAGGCAGGGCTGGCCTGGGGTCACGCTTGTGGGAGGCCCGGGTCCCCCAGGTCCCAGGTAGCGCTCTCTCTGGACGCCGGCAGCCGTGGGCTCCTGACTCCAGGTTGTGGTCTTCCTGTCCCCGCAGCCGTGGGCTCCTAACTCCGGATCGCTGTCTTCCGGTCACGGTCCTTGCTCTGCAGATGGGGGGCGGAGCTCAGGGCCTGGGCACAGAACCCGCCGCCCATCCAGCCCAGCCCCTGGCTTCTCTGTGTGCTGAGCCCCCCCTCCAGGCTCACCCCACCCTCCCCATGCCTTTTGAGGAGGGGGCCTGCTGCTGGGCTCCACGTTGTAAAATTAAATTTCCCAGATGTTCAGGCCCCAGGAGCTTGCTAGTGCTGTCTGGAGAGGAAATGGGGTTGGGACAGCCCCGCGGGGTCCCCTCTCTCGAGTCCCACGCCACCAAGCATGGCCGGACCTTACGGGCAGTGTCTCCATGTGCTCCCCGGGCACAGCAGGTGCCAGCTGGGCTGACGGGGGGGGTCTTTGGGGTGGCACATGGGCCCCAGGTCCCCTCCCTTGGGGCCAGCCTCACTGCCTGGACTCAACTCACTCCGCTCCGACCTGCTCAGGCCTCTCCCAGGCTGTTGTTGCCCACCTTCTCCTTGAACCCCCCCCCAGCTCTCTCTGCCTCTTGGCCCCAGAGTCCAGGACCCCTGACCCATTCTACTGGGCGCCCACGTCATGGGGCCAAGGGAGAGGCCTCGGGAGCAGGCGGGCCCTGAGGGCTGGAGTCTCCTGCACTGGCCAGGGCCGCCCGGGCGCGGTTCCTGGCCTGCGCCCTGCTGGAAGCCTGCCCCCGGGGCCTTTCCTCCGCCTGGCAGGTGTGGTCGGCCGCGTCGGCCCCGGGTGCGGGTGCTCACCAACTTTCTCTGGTTGCTGAGGCAGAAGGTGCAGATCTGTTTGGGCTGGGCATTCTCGCCGTCGCGGGCCGGGGCCGGGGGCGGGGGCGGG